CTAGCACCTGGCATCGCTACTAGGAGCAAGAACGCTACTAGGGGCTCTCCTGGGGGCTCCTGGCATCGCTACTAGGAGCAAGAACGCTACTAGGGGCTCGTGGTTGGAGCAAGAACGCTACTAGGGGCTCCTGGCATCGCTACTAGGAGCAAGAACGCTACTAGGGATGTCAAATCTTCAAGTTTGCCCAAAGCTTTGGGCGATCTTCGGTTTCAGGTCAAGCAGCAGAAAGGTTGCCGCCGTGGGTCTGACCCTTCATCCTTGGCCCCACGAAGCTCCTCAGGGAATGACTGGTGGAGGACAACGAGGACAAGCCCAGATTCTGCTTCGCTGACCCATTCCAAGACTGCGCCGCTTCAATGGGAGGAAGGAAATCGGAAGGAAGTCCTGCCTTCTTTTCACATCTTGGTGAGTTGATACATGTGTCCCTTTTTTAAGTGTGCGCTTGGGAAAAAAGATATTAGATGATGTAAAAAATAGATTTAAAAAATAAATAAATACATGTATATATATATACAATATACCATATAGTATCACGCCGCCTGACCTACTAAAAGTTAACAAGGTTTAAGTGCATGCATTGTCAGGATAAACTAAAGAAACGATCCAAGGAGCAGGTTGGAACTTACATTGCTCCGTCGGAACAGGTGTGTAAAAGTCTTGCGCCATAGGGGAAAACAACGTGATCCAAAAGCAAGTGGTCCACGCAGAACCGGCACTGGCTCCTCTTCAGCTTGTACAAGCTCCGTTCTTGACAGTCCTGCTTGCGCACGCTTCCTGAAACGTTAAGCGCCACAGACTCCGACCATGCAATGCTTCAACTGGTGCAGTATTATTAGGAATACAAAAGGAACGGAACACAAGAAGGTAAGGGCTCCTTGATTCTTTAATCAAGGAGCCCTTACCTTACCTTCTTATATATTTGCAATTGTCTTATTCCTACTGTGAGTTGCATATGAAACATGCATGACCCAATCATGGCTTTGTCCTTGCTTTGAAGACTCTGAAGGCATCTATGAAAGCCATCTTCCTTACAGGGTTAGTCACAAGCTTACCACCACCTGAACACAAATTAAATTTCCAAACGTTCCCAGCAAAAGACCCTGCCTCAAAGCTTGCTTTGCCTCTTCGCCCGCCTCTTGCAACAGCTCAGGCTGTTGAAAAGCATCGCGCAAGGGAGCACCAGGGGGCAGCTTCGAACGCAGCATGTTGATGAAGGTCGCCTTACAAAGGCCAGGACCACACCACGACTATATACATACAGCTACAAAACGATTATACTACAGGTACCAGTGCTACATTGGTGATTTGTAGGCAGCCACATAATCGGAGCTGTCTTTGTCAGTTCAGGCTAGATATTTTCAGTTTTTGATAGCATACCCCTTATTTCTCAGCCTGCGGTGACAGACGGCATCTTCTCAACTCCAGACATTGCCACCCATCGGTCAGAAGCTTCAACCGCTTGCCACTGTGAGAGATGAGAATCAAGAGGCCATCAGGCTGCAAGACCCGCCAGATTTCGCTCACCATTGCCTCATGCTTTGCTTCAGACGTTGGGTGTGGCTCTGGTTGGCTCACAGCTTGAATCCCTCCGAAACAAATAGACATAAGAGTTACTGTAATCAGTAAGCGTCCTGGTAAAAAATGAACCCATCTGAGGAACTCCGGCAATCTCGTCACTTCCAGACGTCATCATGGCATCTAAAGTTCCTTTGTCCACTGCCAGATTGAAGGTACCATCTTGGAAAGACATTGCCGTTGCATCCATGACTTGCCTGGGTTCAGAGACTGAGGGACATTTCATAAGACACCAGGGAGGTGTTGGAATATAAAGAAACAATAGAGAAAAGGTAGTTCGGATCAGAACATGTTGCCAGCTCATGCCTGGCAAATTGAATTGCTCTTGCATCTTTGAGATGGCCGAGGCAGAGATGTCTATGCTTGTAATGTGCAAATATCCCGCAGCATAGAGCTCTGATGAGAAGGCAGAATTTCCACAACCCACCACCAGGACTGGGCTGCTCTGCTTTGACTGCTCCGCAGGATAAAACTCTTCAAAGGTATCTTTCAACTCTGCATAAGTCGCATACCAGTCAAAAAGACCCTCAGAACCTTGAAAGCGAGCATCCCAAAAGTCTGGATTTGCGTAGCGCTCTACCGTCGTCATGCAAGGACAAAAGAAGAATGCGCTGTGCCGCTGTGCTTTTCTTTACTTGCTGCTACTCGCCATGAACGGAACTCCTGAAAGACCATGTCTCCTACTCAGCAAGGTCATTCATGCTTGTTCCCTACTTTTGCTGGAACTTAAGACCTTTTCTCTTCGGGTTCAACATGTACAGTCTGGGCATGTCAAGCAACCAACGCCAGTATCAGGGCTTGATCAAATGCTGCAAGAACATATACATGTTCTCAGCCAAAGTAGTCCAATTCAATATACAGACTACAGACCATTCAAAAGGGCCACGCACTCAACTAACCTGGAATCTTTTGAAGCGTCACGCAGAGGCTTCAAAAAGCGAGCTGGCATGTGCAAGACCCGCGATACGTTTACACTGACTGCAAGAGCAAAACAGGTCAATGACTGCTGACCTTGATCTTGTGGTCTGGCCCCAATTCATCAATGACTACGCTTGAGCCTCTTGATCCCTTTGGGATGAGAGGGAAGCGTGGTGACACTTTGTACAGATTGTGGGCTGCATAGACACGCATAGTCGTGCTCTTCTCAAGTCTGTTCGTGGCTACCTAGACTTCCTAGTTGAGTTGAATTTTGTCAGACAAGAAGGCTTGCCGCTTAGTCCATCAATGTTGAAACAACTGCATGCTTGTCAGGGTTGAACATGTGGTCTCAAAAAAGAAACATATAAGAATATAAAAGGAACTCAAATGGATTTCTGTGGATCTAGAATGCCAACTGATGGTCTCATCTCTGGCCAAGCAGTCCAAATGAAGATTTTCAGCAGCTGCTACCGCAGCAGCACGTCTGGCCCATGGCCATGGGGGCTTTCAGGAGAGCTGCTACCTCACCAAGGCAGCATACAATCACTGAAAACCCACAAACAAAGACATCCCCTTCAGAAAAAGGGATGAAAAGAACAATGTAAGTAAGGGGCTACCTTTTGTCCTGTCTTCTAGAAGGCACCATGTTCTCTTCTCTTCATATTTGATGATTGTCCAAGATGCTTGGCTCCACTCGCCGATGAATCAGCATGTCAGGCATGGGTTTGAACCACAAGCCTTTGAGGCTCTGCATAATGCTCTGCGTTGAGTAGGAGTTGAAGACCTGATCAAGCAAATGTTGGCTCAAATGTTTTCCAATGAATAATGACATCCTTGATACAATCACTTCCATACATGCCATGACTGGCAGGATGCTTGCTTGGATGGATTTCTTTCACCAGCTTGGTTCTGGATGGTTTTGTTATAATATATATATATATATATTTGTACTCTTGGGACTTACCATAAATCTCAACTTGATACCTCATATTGCTCATTGTTAGAGTTCGAAGAGCGGAACCTCGGGTACAAGTGCACAGTTGCCCCTCAGTTCGAAGATTTGGGGTGAGCAGCTTGGCGCCAAGGGCACCCTTAGCACCACCACCACCACCACCACCACCATCATCAACAAAAACAACGTTCCTTACAACCGTGCTGATTAAGAACCAAAAGTGCCTTCCCTGCTTAAACTCACCTGTCATATCTGAGTGCAAAGGCAGTTGAGTGTTTGCTCCAAGAAGACAAACTGCAACATAATTTGGAGCCTAAAGAATAACGCGATTATATAATACCCATGCAATGAAGGCACTTGTTGCAGAGCACAAAACTTTCAGGGTTGTGGTTTCTCATGAGGCCAGTCCGTAGTGCAGGAGCATGTCTTCCCCAAACTGTGTTCCCTGGTGCCTCCTTTGAAAAAATGAATACTGTAGATAAAAATAACCATGACTTCTTGGGGCCAACAACAACAACAAGCAAAACCTTAAAGTTTGCCTCTGCTTTCCGCTAAGGAAAGGGACCTACAGGACCTCCAGCTCTTAAGCATTCTCACTTCTTAGTTTTCGTACGCCAAAACGTGGCACAAAGCAGAAGATCGGCCGCGCCTGGCGAACGCTGAGCTGGGCCTTTCCTTTGTGGGGCTGAGTCATCTCAAACAAGGCCGGGGTTTGTTCGAACCTCACCAAGGCAAATGCAATGCTGTAAAGCCATGTGTATGTGTATATATATATATATCTGTAGACTGTAGAGACGGACGCTCCTAGGCGGTGATTGCCTTTGCATACGGTACTCTTTAAGGTACTCTGTGACCAATGTGCTGCCGAAGCACTTGGAATGGAGCATCGGCAATGACTCGCATCGTTGAACTGGAGACTTCTGAGTGAAGTCCAGCCCTGGTGGCTCCGCATGAGGCGTCGCTCGCTCCAGCTCAAGGATCTGCGGCCCATGCGCATGGGATCTCACAAACAGACCTTCGTCGTTTACAGTAGTTATGAATAAATTACAATAGCAATGGCCTCCAACCTGACAGAGATGGCCTCCACTTTTCCGCTTTTCCGCAAGATACTGGCACCGCAGCTGGTGGCCGGGGTAACCAGAAACGTGAGCTACAGTCTACAGCACAATGGCTTCGATGTCGGGGCCACAGGTGTAGGCATGACGAAATTGGAGGATGAACCTCTCAAGTGCATGGAACCGAGCAGGCTTTATGCGGCCACAAACACAGTGCGCCCAAAAGGTGGTGACCTTCGAGGAAGGTCGAGCGTAGCTTGTCGACAATTGGGTCGATTCACTGCGATGGATCCGCAGAAGGAGGAGACGGAACCATTTGATTCGGAGGACCAACTCGTGGCAGTTGGCTTCGGCCCTGTCGAACCATCTCCACTGCTTATATTTATTGGAGGGTTGGGCACCTCCCCGGTTAGTATGAAGAACGAAGTCAAGATCGAGGTACATCCACGGCAGGAAGCGAACTTCTGCGTCTGGATCAATCAAGCTTCGTGACCATTCGGAAATGGTGGGCCATGCATCGCCTACCAACTTCAAGCGGCGCAATCGTGGCCTCGGTGAGCGGCAGAGGGAAGGGCTCAGCTGGCACTTCTGTGGGAGCCATCCGTGTTTCCTTGACGACTGCTGATGCACTGACCTGGATGATGGTATCATGAATTTGGTTACGAAGAGTGCGGGCATCATCAATGGCCGTGACGGCTTGTTGCCATAGCAAAAACACATGCTGCGGCTCGCGCAGACTCATTTGGGCACACAAATCTGCATGGTTTTTGCATGTGAAGGCCCATCGCTCTACCGGGTCAGCTCCTTCGAGGTTCTGATGACTTGCACCCTTGTGAACCTGGACAGTGCCTGTTGGCATGGATCGAGCGAGTGCGACAAGTGGTGCCCACAAGTCCCCATCCTTGTGTGATGGGTGGTATGGATCAGTGGCTCTGAGGGCTATTTGGAGAGTGTCCACAACCAATGCGTTATCGCTCCAAATTCGAATTGGGGCGCCCAGTCGAACGGCATATCGGAGCGCACTCGTGGCGGCAACAGCCTGGGACTAGGCCTTGGGCCAGTGGGCTCCAATGCTCTGTGTCGGAGGGGTGAGCTGCAACAACCCCCCAGCCTGCGATCCGGGTGAATGGACAGGTAGGATTTGCACAAGATCCATCAACAAACAAGTCGGTTGGCGCAAATGACAGGGGCTCGAAGCGGTCAGTGAGGTCTGGCTGAGCCCACAGTAGTCGATGTAGCTCATGCACTTCGGGCGGGAGGCCAATCCATCCATGGTATGTCAAACACTTTGGAAGGCCACCCTCGTTCACTTTGGAAGTGAGCCATGGGTGAGGTCTACATCCGGCGAAGTGCGTACATTCCCAAAACCGATGGTGTTGGGAGTCATTCTGGCCGCAGAACTTGCATGTCAGGGTGTGAGCTTTCTCATTATGCTTTTGGGAGTCTGCCGTAAAGAACGTTCCATTGAGGGCTTTTCGGAGCAAACCTAGCTTTTCTTGGGAAAAGTGTCGGGCCTTCTCCATGGTGAACGTTGCGTTGGCCCATGCAAGGCCCTGGAACGTTTTCTCTGGCATGCTCTCTGTTGCACAAGGTGTTGCCAGGCTTGGCAAAGCCTTTGCTGAACTTCTGTGGTGGACCCCCGAAAGAGGTCGATCGGCAGATGTGTGTGATCTAACATCCAGCCTTGTCCGATCCATTGCCACCCCAGGGCGTGGAGGCGCTCAAGTAGCACATGGCATGGGCCAGGTCGGTGGATCATCTCCTGCCAGTTTTGCAGGATGTTGTCAACGAGCATGCTCACTTTGTCTAGGTCGGCATTCCTACGAAAGGTGTGGACTGTGTTGATGAGCACATGACACTCAGGGTCTGTCAGCGGGGCGCTCAACCAAGGACAAATGCACCATAGGGCTGATGCCTGGGGCATGCACTTTGAGGCCTCGACACGCACCTGTACGGAGCACTCGAAAATGGACTTCACCAAGGCTAGCGGCGGTGCACCCACTTAAAGCTTGGGGCCATCCCTTAACTCTCAGGGCATACACTTTTTGCCTATATGGAGCAGGAGATCGGGCGAGGGCCATCCAAACCGATGGCATGGCATCTATCCGCTTGCGCAAAACATGGTTGGTTGTCCTTTTGCCATACTCCATGTGAGCTCCCAAGTCTCGGGCAGACGATTGTAGTGGAAGTTCATGCGCACGGGCCTGGGCTCGATCGGCAGCTTCGGTCGACCAAAAATAGGTCTTTGCTTGGTCAATCTGGAGGTCAAGCAAGTCACAGAAGCTGGTCATCAACCTTAGGCCTTGTTCGGCAGTGTTGATGTCCGGTGCAGTTAGCTCAAGGTTATCGACATAGGACCATAATCGAACCGAGGGGTGTCTTAGACGAAGCCATCGAGTCAGGGTGATGTTACATAGCAACATGGCGGCGCAGCTAAGTCCACACCCTTCAGCAAATCCCGTGGAGGAGGACAACTTAGGGCCTATGGTCCCTCTTACACTGGAGGCCCTCGTCATCTGTCCGAGGGCGGCTGTCCATGCTCGGATGACAGGCTTCGGCAATCCTAGGTGAAGGCCTATGGCAAGCAAGGGGATTCTTGGGAGGAGATTAAACGCCTTAACAAGATCAGCGACGACTCCGGCAAGTGGCACATTATCGGTGTGTGCTTCTTCCAGGTGGACTTGGATGCTCAGCCACAAATCTGTGCACGATTTGCCAGGGACGTTACCAGTGACTTGATCCGGCGCGAACTTCCCCAGGAATGCGAGGGTCTCCCTTGCTCGGATGGAAGACCAGGTTCGATTCCACGCTCCTGAGATCTTCTCTGAGGCATGAACATGGCCTGTCACAACTTGGGTAGGCCAGGCAGAGGTGCCTGTTTCAACTGCTTGCAACAAGTCAATCATGGGCTCAACATGATTCCGCCGCAATGCAAGCCAGTCTTGTTCGGACACTCCATCAGGGCCAATGGCAGCATGTGCTTTCTTTTTCCGCACGGCATTTTGCCACACTTCAAAAGTAATTGGAGAATATTGCATTTGCGGTGGGTTAGGGAAAACATGTTGCACGAACTCAACAATGGGCTCCCACTTAGTGTCAGGGGTGTTGCGGTGACGATCCCATCTAGTCATCCATTCCGTGTGGAATGCGGCATAGATGTCATCAAGGTCGTGTGACTGGGCTTGACTGGGCTAATCTATCTCCCTCTTGGAGGGGTGGCATATGGTTAAGCCAGAGTTTATCAGTATCATAGTGGATGACCGAGAGGGGTTGACCATCATGTTCGATGGCCTTGTCGGGCTCGAATGCATTGGCAGGGTCGAGAACTACGGCATTTTCCTCCAAGTCAATGGCTGTGATGGTGGCAATTGTGTGGGCAAGCAATGACTGGACTGGTTCAGGCCGGGCAGCTTCAAGGTCACGAAAAATGCGATTATAGGGTTATCAAGTCGATCTTGCTTGGCCTTCTGCACACGCGCTTTCCAAAGGATCTGTTCCAAATGAGCAAGATCTTTCTGGAAGTCGATGGCCAAGAGACTGGCTTGGTCCCCATCGGGTGGCACATAGGGCAGGCAGTCGGGCAAGCCTGCAATGTGCTTGGCTTTCTGGCTCCACCATTGCTCGAAATTCGGCCGAAACCCGGTGGCTTTGCGTATTGCACGCCATTGACCTAGTTTGCGTTCAATCCAGTGACTATTTGGTGTGTGACCTGCATGGTGCATTTGCGCAAGTGACTGAAGCCGCCTGAGCTGTTTTACCCAATGTGTGTGGAGCTGATTTTGGCCATGAAATGACGGTGTGAAACTGCCTGGTCGTGATGGCCGCAGCGGCACGAAGTGTTCAGTGATCCATGACCGTGTCAATGTGGCACCACGACCAGTTTGAGAACCATGAACATTGATCCCTTGGTGTCGGGCTTGGTCGACCATCTGGGTTTCAAAAGATCTCCAAACATCTCGATACTGGTGGTCAGCAGAGTCAGGGGGCGCATGGGGATCTGCCGGCTCAGTTGCGGTCCACTTCACGGGGTCGAGGTGATGGTCTGCAGTCTGCACGGGCTGTGGCCATTCTACTGGACGAGGTTGTTTCCAGATTGGAACCCTTAACTTTGGGCATTATTCTGGAGAACGGCATAGACGATGGAGTGACTTGCAACCCAATCGGATTCAACATGCACTTCAGTCACCATGGGGCAGAGTTCAGGACTCAAGAACAGTAAGTCCTTGGTGTGCTTATTTTGGATGGTCGGTTCAATGGGTTGACCAAATTTGCGGAGGGCGAGGTGCTGGACTTCCTCCCATCCGTGATGCAACAAGGTCTGGACGTTTGGGAGTTCATCAATGAAATGATTGAAATCCCCTCCGATGAACCTGGGCCCTTGGGCGCCTGAGTAGATTCTATCAACAACATGCGACAAAAGGCCATTGTTCTGCTCTCTTGTTTGGAGACCTGTGCTCTGAAAGGCATTACCATAAAAAGCCCCTCCCTGAATCCATTGTTGGCCAAACTGAAAACCAGCTACGTGACACCGCTGTTGATTAACGATTTCGGGCGGCCATGAGTGCATGAGATGGCGCCCTGGCGTGCTTGTGAGAAAACCAACCCCCCTCTCCTTCCCTCGAACAGAAAGGTAGGATTGAGCAGCAGATTTGGGGGGTCCTTGCGTCCCTTGGGGAAGCGAATTGAGGAGTTCAGCCTTATGCAACAGTCCAGTGGGGTTGATCAAACCTATGACAAAACCCGGAAACTTGGCGCTCGAAACAGTACTAGTGGGGCCAGGAGTGCACAAACACAACAAAACAACGCAACGAATTTTTGCCGCGACTCCGGATGGTCTGGCGTCTGATGCGCAGGCGAACTTGAACTTTGAAGCAGTCTTGATCTCTATGTCGGATCATCACGCGGATCTGGCCACCGCGATTGGA